CTGTGTTGTACACCATCCACCAGAGAATGGGGTCTGTGTTGTACACCATCCACCAGAGAATGGGGTCTATGTTGTAGCTACCAGAGAATATAGGGTCTGTGTTGTACACCATCCACCAGAGAATGGGGTCTGTGTTGTACACCATCCACCAGAGAATGGGGTCTATGTTGTAGCTACCAGAGAATAGGGTCTGTGTTGTACACCATCCACCAGAGAATGGGGTCTGTGTTGTACACCATCCACCAGAGAATGGGGTCTATGTTGTAGCTACCAGAGAATCGGGTCTGTGTTGTACACCATCCACCAGAGAATGAGGTCTATGTTGTAGACACCAGAGAATGGGGTCTGTGTTGTAGCCACCAGAGAATGGGGTCTGTGTTGTAGCCACCAGAGAATGGGGTCTGTGTTGTATAATATTCAGCAGAGGATGGGGTCTGTGTTGTACACTGGTCACCTGGGAATGAGGTCTGTGCTGTAAAATGGCCACCAGAAACACATTTTGGATTTTACTATACTGGTAACAATTTTAGGTCTCATTTACATTTGCGACAGCCCTTACGTCCCCTCTGAAAAGCGATCCGCGATGGATCTCTTTTTAGAAGGGGCTGAGAAGTGCTGAGAGGTGACGTGTCACCCTGTTTTAACCCTCAAAATCCTGCACCACTGCCCTGCAGTCATGTGCATGAAACACATGCAGCACGGTCCCACTCACTTAAATGAATCGTGTTCAGGGGCAGCACTATTCTCCGAGGATGATGGGGGATATACATTTTTCCGTAACCACAATTCTTTGCTTCATGTACACAACCTCAACCAAGTGCTTTGCAGCTTAAACGTGTGATCTGGGGGAGCAATAAAAACTCAATTTCCTATTTTTGCCAACTCTGCGTGGTATTATATTTATATAGATAGATATACTGTATACATATATATATATATATAGTATATATAAAAAATGTATAGGCTCTCACTCACCTGTGTCTCCTGTTTTCCCAGCTTGTCCTTTCTGACCCGGAGTCCCCGGAATGCCAGGACTTCCCCTGAGGATGGTTAGCTGGTCGGGGTTTGCAGCTGGCACTTCTGTAACCATAAGCAAGCCACAAAGAAAGTGTGAATGTCACATGAAAGTGCTCATCACACCACTGTACTTTGGATGAAAGATCAGATCCATCCAGGTCCCACTATCCACTCCGGCGGTAATATATATACAGTATATAATGAATAACATACTATCCATGGCAGCCAAAGGTTGCAATGACACATACTACACAGCACAATGGTCTGCTAATGCCCAAAGACCCTTCTATAAAGTATATTATTTTTGTCTATGTTTTAATTGTTTAGGTGATATATATACAGGTGAGACTCGGAAAATTAGAATATCATGCAAAAGTTAATTTATTTCAGTCATGCAACTTAAAAGGTGAAACTAATATATGAGATAGACTCATTACATGCAAAGCAAGATAGTTCAAGATTATGATTTGTCATAATTGTGATGATTATGGCTTACAGCTCATGAAAAAACCCCAAATCCACAATCTCAGAAAATTAGAATATTACATGCAATCAATAAAAGAAGGATTGAATTGTGAAATATAGCGAGCGCTCAGAAAAACCAGCCGCTGGAACACTTCAAGGGATCACTAGACCTCATAACAGAGACATTATACATATATATAGTGCAGCGCTGAAATATGATAAAATTAATATAAATTCATAGAGTCTTTCTTGTGACAATAAAACCAAATATGTGCAGGTCTTCTCCTCATTAGGTGACTGGAAAATAGCAAAAATGCGCACTCACCGACCGCACATTTTAAATGCGCCTGTGTATAATATAATCCAAAAGACCAGCCAGGTATGCAGCTCCAGAGACCACACGGATCCTCCCTCTCCACCACTAACATCCGCCTTGGGTGTAGCAATATCTCCAGATCCAGAGGCCCTCTCGCCTCAGGTAGATAGACAGGGATCCCCCTTCTGGTTCCGGACACCCCAAGAATGGAAGATGTATATCTGCACCCTCCAACAGGAGAGTCAAGAAAAAAGGGGGAACGCCAATAGTGTGGTAGTTTCAAAACTTTATTGGAGCAATAATGCCTGGGTCATGTGCACATACACATCCATACACCATTAGCCAATAACGGACAGGTAGGTATGAAAAAAGAAATTGTACTAACCCGGCAATGGTATAAAACAGTCACCTTTTTTCCAGTCACCTAATGAGGAGAAAGACCTGCACATATTTGGTTTTATTGTCACAAGAAAGACTCTATGACTCTATGAATTTATATTAATTTTATCATATTTCAGCGCTGCACTATATATATGTATAATAAAAGAAGGATTGTACACAGAACAATATCGGACCTCTGAAAAGTATAAGCATGCATATGTACTCAGTACTTGGTTTGGGCCCCTTTAGCGTGGCATGGAAGCTATCAGCCTGTGGCACTGCTGAGGTGTTATGGAAGACCAGGATGCTTCAATAGCGGCCTTTAGCTCTTCTGCATTGTTCGGTCTCATGTCTCTCATCTTTCTCTTGGCAATGCCCCATAGATTCTCTATGGGGTTCAGGTCAGGCGAGTTTGCTGGCAAATCAAGCACAGTAATCCCACGGTCATTGAACCGGGTTTTGGTGCTATTGGCAGTGTGGGAGATCACCGGGTGGCAGCGGGGAATCACTGGCTGGGACCCGGTGACTGACAGCTGCAAAATCACGTATATATATGTCACCCTGTAGCAGTATTTCTGCTATAGTGCGGCACAGAAGTGGTTAATTTTTATATATTTTTAGTGTAGAACCTCTGATTTCCAACAGGAGTGCTATTTGTATTACATCTATTTTATAATGTTGATTAGGTTTGTAGCAGGCTCCTTGTACAAGAGGATTCAGAAGGAATCACACGTTCAGCAGTCGGTCCTTCCTCTCTCTCCCCTATTTGTAAAACCTGGGCATTCTGCCAAGTTCATGACTCATCCACTACACAGCAAAGGACGCTGGGAGAGGGAGGGAGCAGGAAGTGAAGGGGAGAGGGGAGACACACGAGACTGGCGAAAAGACAGGGACACGTGGAGCCCGTCCAAGGAGAAGAGGAGGCACTACAGCACCCAGTGCGGATAGAGGGACCCTGCTGTGTGTTCAGAGTCTGGTGAGCTGTCCCACTGGAGAGAGTAAGACACACCATTTACACTTTGCATATAGACTGGGACATCCGCACCCCACTGCTGGGATCTCACCCATCCGGGGCCCTGTGCAAGCCACAGATCCCCCTGCCTGCTTTGCCCCTCACCACCAGTGTAATTGAGACTGTCTGCCCCGGGGACTGACACATACTGGGAGATTGCATCCTGCGACTGCCCCTGGTCTTGGGGTGCTTTGTGTTGCTTGTAACAAACAAGAGATCCCTGTGCTCAAATCCATACAGCTAGTGCATGCATTTTATCCATCAGGTGCTAAAGGGGTGTAACCACATTAACTCTAGAAATTCTGAAGGACCCTCTGCACACTGGTATATACCCTTTCAAGCAAACTATGCAACAAATAGGGATATTTGGTTCACACATATTGCAATACATGTTTAAGCTGGCCAACTGCGTCAAAGTAATCCCTCTATGGCCAGTCCTACTCTGCCCTGCCTACACAAGTGCTACTGTGGACACACAATGCTAGCAGAGGGGTCCTTCAGAATTTCTAGAGTTAATGTGGTTACACCCCTTTAGCACCTGATGGATAAATGCATGCACTAGCTGTATGGGATTTGAGCACAGGGATCTCTTGTTTGTTGTATTGTTGGGTCAGTAGCCAGACCTGAACCTTGTAGCTCTCCCCATTGTGTCTTTCCCCCTCTGCTAGCATTGTGTCCACAGTAGCACTTGTGTAGGCAGGGCAGAGTAGGACTGGCCATAGAGGGATTACTTTGACGCAGTTGGCCAGCTTAAACATGTATTGCAATATGTGTGAACCAAATATCCCTATTTGTTGCATAGTTTGCTTGAAAGGGTATATACCAGTGTGCAGAGGGTCCTTCAGAATTTCTTGTGTTGCTTGTAGACACTGAGATTGGACCCTCTCAGCCCAGAAACCTAGTGAAATCTGATGTAACCCACACCAGCTGAAACTCCAAAGAAGCCTTCAGCTGCTATTTACTTCATTGTAAGGACTAAACATGCACCAACTAGAGCTCCACCGTTACAAGGACTGAAGTGGGGGAATCTGGCTTAGTAGCCTTATTAGAGGTACCTCTTTATTGCATTCTGTTCTGACTCTGAGGTGATTTTTGGCTAACGCCCCTCAGAAGCAGAATCATACACCGGTGTGGGTAATACATTTCATTGATAGAGTATAAGTAAGTTTATTTGTTTGATATCAGTTGTATTCTGCTTAACCACTTGCCTACCAGGCACTTATACCCCCTTATTTACCAGGCCAATTTTCAGCTTTCAGCGCTGCCGCACTTTGATTGACAATTGCGCGGTCATGCAACATTGTACCCATATGAAATTTTGATCATTTTTTTCTCACAACTAAAGCTTTCTTTTGGTGGTATTTAATCGCCACTGAGCGCTTTACTTTTTGCGCTTAAATAAAAAAAAGTGCAAAAAATTTGAAAAAAAAAAAAAAGTTTCTTTGTTTCTATTATAAAATTTTTCAAACAGGTATTTTTTCTCCTTCACTGATGTGCGTTGATGAGGCAGCACTGATGGGCACTGATAGGCGACACTGATGGGCACTGATAGGCAGCACTAAAGGGCACTGATAGGCATTACTAATGAGGTGGCACGGATAGGCGGCACTGATAGACAGCACTAATGAGGTGTCACGGATAGGCGGCACTAATATGCAGCACTGATAGGCGGCACTGATAGGTGACACTGATGATGGGTACTGATAGACGGCACTGACTGGCATCACTGCTGGGCACTGACTGGCGGCACTGACTGGCACAACCCCTGGGCACTGACTGGTGGCACTGACTGGCAACACTGCTGGGCTGCACTGGTGGGTGGCACTGGTGGGCAGCACAGGTGGGTGGCACTGGTGGGCACGGGGTGGGTGGCACTGCTGGGCACAGGTAGGTGGCACTTCTGGGCACAGGTGTGTGACACTGCAGAGTGGCACAGGTGGGTGCACTGCTGGGCACAGGTGGGTGATCTGCTGGGCACAGGTGGGCGGAGCTAGTGGGCGCACTGCTGGGCACAGGTGGGCGGAACTTGCGGGTGGCACTGCTGGGCACCGATCATCAGGTGGCACCGGCACTTGCATTTCCCTCTGATCAGCGTGTCATTGGACACCGCTGATCACGTGGTAAAAGGCCGCTGTGATTGGCCTTTTACCACATCATCCTGTGTCCGTAGGACACAGCGATCACGGAGATCGCCGGGTGCGCGCCCCCCTGGGGCGCGCAGGAGAGCGCGTTCTGGGAGGACGTCATATGACGTCCACTCAGAACTGGCCGGCCGCAGTGCAGCCGTCATTCGGCTATCTGCGGTCGGCAACTAGTTAAAGTGCGACTCTGCCATCGGGAGATTTTTGGATGTGAAGCCCTCTAGTGGCAGACCAAATTTACTGCATTGCATAAAAGAAGAAAAGTAAGTTTTGAAGTTGAAAGGGGAACCCCACCCCTCTACACTGCATTTCATTCTCCATAAAATTGTTCTTGTTTCATTTAACCCTGTGTCAGCAAATTTCTTGGCGGGGTATTTGCTATTCATTATCAGTTGTGCCAGAGGGATTGGGTTTGCTTAGGGTTGGATCTATTGAGCACAGGACCCATAATATATTCCAGCTTGTCCCAAGGGGCAGTGCTACAGGTTGTTTCAACCAGTGGTGATGGAGTGAGTGCCACCAATCAATGCCAGTCCTCTCTTCACAATTTCCCTATTTAAGTGCGTGATAGCAGACGTGCGCCTTTGACCCCTGATGACGTCATCTATGACAAAACGTGTCAGTTGGAGCTTGGGCATTCGTCATCACGCATGTATGCTCACGGTCGTCTTGGAAGTGGGAACATGTGGATTGTATTAATTATACAGAGCTTTATTGATCTCTGAGTTTATAAGTGCATTTTTGTGGTTCAATAAATTGTTTTAGATGGTTTTACACTATGGGAAGCGCTTTCATTTTATGCAATGCCACCTTTGATGCTTGACAACACATACATTGATGGTCAATATTTGGATGCTATAGAGAAGGCTTGATTGGTTATTAATTGTCACCTTTGAGCTGATTTTGACCACTCCATAACATGATGGTCAAATATATCTGGTAAGCCTTTATTTGAGCACGGAGTGCGGTGACACGTGTTTGCACGGATATTGTTTGGTCAGCTAGCAATCGAAGATTCACGTTTGCACTTCTGATTTATGTTTTGGAATAGGGACTCACATTTAAGAACTTTTATCACATCTATTTTGTATATTCTTGTACATATCCTTGCAATATTGATATGCAGTTTGAATACCATCATATTCAGTTTCACGTGGTAATTGCTGGGATTGTGCCACCACATAAAGTTTTCTCTTTTAGTGCTACACTTATATATATGTTCGTTAGATTTTTGTATCAGAATTTAGTGTTGGCAGCTTGCTATATAGTTTGAACCAGTGCAGAATTTCTATAATTTTTTACATGTTTAGGGGATATACAAAGCGCAGCATATTGTTTCCATATATTACCATTATATTACCATATGGGCACACCTTGTAATTAAAATCAGCCTTGTAATATTGCATTACGATGATAATAATAATAATAAAAAAAACTAATAAGATCGTCCTACCTTGACATGGGTCCTCAGCATAAGTGAATGCCAGCAGCAGGCAGAGCAGTGCAGGCAGCCAAGTCTTCATCATCGTCATCATCATTATATCTCCCTATCCGACTCCTGTCCTTCCCTATCACTTGTCATTAGAAAGGGAAATATTTGTCTATATGTAGGGATCATCTTATCTCTTTCCTCTTCTGACACACTGCTCTCACAGTCACCAAACCCAATGAACTCTAATAAACATTTTACTGCTTTTCCTTTTTTTTCTCCTTTGTTAGCATCTGTACTTTGTTTTTTAATTAATTTTCATTAAAATAGCTTTATCTTATGAGAAGATGGGGGAGTGCATATTGTCACAACAGGATTTCTACCATATCAATAGTAAATATTTAATTAGTAGTGATGGGCTACATGTTCGATCCGAACCTAAGTTCTTGTCACGTCATGATAGTATGTAAGAATTGTCATCGGGGAATAGCTGTCAGGTGGCGTGAGCGAGTGTTTCTTTTTTCTTTTCCAGAAAGCAGCGATGGCAGGCATTGCGGTTGACGTTGGATCCACTTCGGGAGACATTTTTTTTTAAGTTTTATTTTTATTAAAGGACTTGTAAAAGACTGTCTCCTGTATTTTATACACTACACTTTTTTTTACCATTTACCGCATACTCATTCACATAGGGAGAGGGCCAGGATCTCGAGGCCCCCTTGTTAAAGGGGGATTTAAGATTCTGATAAGCCCCCACCCGTAGACCCCCACAACCCACCAGCCATTGATAGAGCCCTTGTCCCCATCAACATGGGGGGCACCCCTGTCCCAAAGCACCCCCCATGTTAAAGGCATGTGGCCTGGTATGGTTCAGGAGGGCGGGGGGATGCTCACCACTCTTCCTGACCTGCGGGGCTCCATGCTCAGATAAGGGTCTGGTATGCCATTTTTAAAAAACATTTTGGTGTAGGATGGGAGGGGAGACCCACGTCATTTAACAAATAAATGTTTTAATAAATGGGCAATGCTGACAATTCTTTTTAAATTGAGCTGTCAGCCTTAAAACACCGGTCAGGATGGCGCAGTGTTCTGGTTAAAGTCTCGGTGGAGGCGTGCCTTCAAATCTGACAGCAATTTCAGCTTTTCATAACTTGCTCTGTAGGTTCTCTTGCTCGTGTAGCGCTCTATCTCTAGCGAATAAATATATGGTGTCCAACAATGCAAAAACAGGGCTCAGAAGATCAGGGGTAAGAGAACTGGTCTTATTAGCCAGAGGTCACAAGTTCATATATCACTGAGGCCTGTCTGCAGTATTTGGCAACCATATTTCACAAAGCTGCATACTTAGAATTTTCCCCTAGAAGTCCCAAGGAAATATAAGGTTATGAAAATGTGAAGGTTACTAGATTATGAAATTTAAACATTAGGACAAATTGAATTTTCCGACATCTTGAAAGAGACAATATCTGCTAGAAATAATCACTCTCTAATTTTGCATCAAATGAAAAGTGTAATTCAAGCAAACAGAGATATCTTGCTAATAAAAAGGACACGCAGATAGCGAGCATCTTGCAGTTATCAAAATATCTCTGTTTGCTTGAATTGCATTTTTCTTTCCATGCAGAATTAGAGAGTGAGTGTTTCTAGCAAATATTATCTCTTTCAAGTTGTACTAACGATTAGATTTCGTAATCTAGAGCCCATCATATAGTCATACCCTTACGTTTCCTTGGGCCTTTTGGGAAAAAATTTAATCTTACACCAATTTATATGAGATACGGTTCCTGAAGCTGGCAGAAAAAGGCCCCAGTGAGATTTGAACTCCCGACCCCTGGTTTGATAAGACCAATGAACGTTTTGGCTTCATGTCGCTCTTCCGCCTGGAGCTCAAGGAACAAAAGAAATCTGTTGAACGTCACATGATGGAGAAAATGCTCTACAACAAGCCTCACCCTTTTCACCTTTTTCTTGCTACCTTCCTCATGTACAAAGCATTGGAAGAAAAATACAAAGACACATGTTAAAAGTGCAAAAGTAGTATCCTAATACAAGGGGACACGCAGATAGCCAGCGTCTTGCAGTTAGCAAGATATCTCTCTTTGCTTGAATTGCACTTTTCTTTCCATGCGGATAGCGAGCGTCTTGCAGTTAGCAAGATATCTGTTTGCTTGAATTGCACTCTTCTTTCCATGCAGAATTAGAGAGCGAGTCTTTGTAGCAGATGTTATCTCTTTCAAGATGTGGGGAAATTCAAGTTGTCCTAACCTTTAGATTTCATCATCTCGAGGCCTTCATATAGTCATAACCTAACCGTTACCTTGGGCCTTTTGGGGAAAAATCTAATTATGCCAATTTGCGAGCTACGGTTCCCGAAAATGGCAGAAAGGCCCCAGCGAGATTTGAACTCGCGACCCCTGGTTTACAAGACCAGTGCTCTAACCCCTGAGCTATGGAGCCCTGTTTTTCTAATTTTGGACAGCATTTTTTTTGCACTAGAGCTAGAGCGCTAAAGGAGCAAGAGAACCTAAAGAGCAGCTGTGAAAAGCTGAAACTGCTGTCAGAAGTGGGATTCGAACCCACGCCTCCAGTGGAGACTGCGACCTGAACGCAGCGCCTTAGACCGCTCGGCCATCCTGACCTGTTGAGGAGTGCTTCAGCAAGATCCCGTGATGCTCATATGTAGTCTAATGTGCTGCTATCTCTGCGGAGGCCTACGTCTCAACGTTTTGGCTTCATGTCGCTCTTCCGCCTGGAGCTCAAGGAACAAAAGAAATCTGTTGAACGTCACATGATGGAGAAAATGCTCTACAACAAGCCTCACCCTTTTCACCTTTTTCTTGCTACCTTCCTCATGTACAAAGCATTGGAAGAAAAATACAAAAGACACATGTTAAAAGTGCAAAAGTAGTATCCTAATACAAGGACACGCAGATAGCCAGCGTCTTGCAGTTAGCAAGATATCTCTCTTTGCTTGAATTGCACTTTTCTTTCCATGCGGATAGCGAGCGTCTTGCAGTTAGCAAGATATCTGTTTGCTTGAATTGCACTCTTCTTTTTCCATGCAGAATTAGAGAGCGAGTCTTTGTAGCAGATGTTATCTCTTTCAAGATGTGGGGAAATTCAAGTTGTCCTAACCTTTAGATTTCATAATCTCGAGGCCTTCATATAGTCATAACCTTACGTTACCTTGGGCCTTTTGGGGAAAAATCTAATTATGCCAATTTGCGAGCTACGGTTCCCGAAAACGGCAGAAAGGCCCCAGCGAGATTTGAACTCGCGACCCCTGGTTTACAAGACCAGTGCTCTAACCCCTGAGCTATGGAGCCCTGTTTTTCTAATTTGGACAGCATTTTTTTTGCACTAGAGCTAGAGCGCTAAAGGAGCAAGAGAACCTAAAGAGCAAGCTGTGAAAAGCTGAAACTGCTGTCAGAAGTGGGATTCGAACCCACGCCTCCAGTGGAGACTGCGACCTGAACGCAGCGCCTTAGACCGCTCGGCCATCCTGACCTGTTGAGGAGTGCTTCAGCAAGATCCCGTGATGCTCATATGTAGTCTAATGTGCTGCTATCTCTGCGGAGGCCTACGTCTCAACGTTTTGGCTTCATGTCGCTCTTCCGCCTGGAGCTCAAGGAACAAAAGAAATCTGTTGAACGTCACATGATGGAGAAAATGCTCTACAACAAGCCTCACCCTTTTCACCTT